GGTAGAGCGCTTGCCTTGCATGCATGAGGCCCTGGATTCGATTCCTCAGCACCACATAAGCAAAAAGAAAAAAGCCGGAAGTGGGCGCTGTGGCTCCAGTGGTAGTGCTAGCCTTGAGCTGAAGAGCTGAGGGACAGCGCTCAGGCCCAGAGTTCAGGCCCCACGACTGGACCCAAAAAAAAAAATTAGACCCCCAAGTTGTGCTACTTAGAGCAGAGAATACATCCCAAATTTAAATGGCCAATTAGTAGAGGCTATATGGTAACAAATCACAAGAGATCGGCAGAAAGAACACCATCATCCATTACCAATGTCTGCTGTGAACGTAGGAATGAACACTGGGTACAAATGCTATCTGTTTAATGTCCTTGGATTTAGACTGCTAATCCCAGTGACAACAGTTCAATTCAACCTCCTTCTGCAGAAGCTCAAGCCTCCTCACACCCTGTCCTTGTGGCCTATTTCTCTCTTTAGATTATCACTTTTAGAGACTACCTTCCCATTGTGCTGGGTGATGAGATGCGGAAGTGGATCCCTCCATACCAAGGCTACAATGACTCTGTAGACTCCCGAATTTCCAATGTCTTTACCTTTGCTTTCCGCTTTGGGCACTTGGAGGTCCCCTCCACAGTGTCTCGCCTGGATGAGAATTATCAGCCATGGGGGCCAGAACCAGAACTTCCCCTGCATACCCTCTTCTTCAACACCTGGAGGATGGTCAAAGACGGTATGTCCTTTCCTAAAGGAGTTCTCACCTGTCTCTCCCACTCTGCAACCTGCTTGTAGGGAAGTCAAATTTGGAAGTCACGATCCACAAACTTCCTGTGAGACCCTGAGTAAGTGAATTTATCTCACTGCACCTCAATTTTCTGGCTTTCAAATGGGGATACCTCAACTGGGCACCAATGGCTCATGCCTATAAACCTAGCTACTCTGGAGACTGAGATCTGAGGTTCACAGTTTGTAGCCAGACCAGGCAGACAAATCCAAGAGACTTATCTCCAATTAGCTAGCGATCCCACCCCCCAAAAAATGGGGCACCATGGCTCACGCCTGTAATCCTAGCTACTCATACTCAGGAGGCTGAGATCTGAGGATCATGGTTCAAAGTCAGCCCAGGCAGGAAAGTCCATGAGACTCTTTTTTGTTTGGATGGTCCAGTCATGGGGCCTGAACTCTGGGCCTGGGCGCTGTCCCTCAGCTCTTCAGCTCAAGGCTAGCGCTCTACCACTTGAGCCACAGCGTCACTTCCGGCTTTTTTCTTTTTTGCTTATGTGGTGCTGAGGAATCAAACCCAGGGCCTCAGGCATGCAAGGCAAGTGCTCTATCACTGAGCCACCTCTTTTGGCACCATCCATGAGACTCTTATCTCCAATAAACCACTAGAAAAGCCAAAAGTGGCGCTGTGGCCAAGTTCAAGCCCCACAACAGACGAAAATAAAAACAAAAAACATTGATCTATGGCTCAAATGTAGAACACCAGCCTTGAGCACAAAAGCTAAGCGATAGACAGTGCCCAAAGCCCTGAGTTCAAGCCCTAGTACCAGTGACACAAAAAAGGGGGAAAGACGTCTCCTGAGGGTATCCAAAAAATTAAATATAAGATACTTAGAGTACCTTATCATGAGTCACAAGAGCTTCTAAGATGCCTAGGATTCCTCTTCCTCCTCCCCTGATCTTGGTTTCTCTGACCTCTGAAGAGAATTCATAGGCTTTATCCTGCTCTTTTCTAGGGCCTTCCACTTCCATGAGGTACCAGAGCTTAACTTTTTTTTCTTTTGTCTGTCATGGGGCTTGAACTCTGGGCATGAGCACTGTCCCTGAGCACTTCAGCTCAGGGCAAGCACTCTACCACTTGAGCAACAGCGCTACTTCCGGTTTTCTGGTGGTTAATTGGAGATAAGAGTGTCACCAACTTTCCTGCCCCAGCTGGCTTTGAACCACAATCCTCAGATCTCAGCCTCCTGAGTAGGATTACAGGCGTGAGCCACCAGTGTCCAGCAAACTTTTTTTTTTTGGTCTTCTTTTTTGGTATTGGGTATTGAACCCAGGACGTTGCACTTGCTAGGCAAGCCCCTTGCCACTGAGCTACATCTCAGCCCAAGGAGCTAGAGTTTGACTGCATCAATTCTTTACTCCTAGGCTAGGACTATGTTGAAACCAACTTACCTCAAAACCTAACAAGTCAGAACCATTTCCTAATTATTTATGGGACATTTCCCACACTGCAGCGTGCTTCCAGGGAACACATGGAGAAGACGCTGCTGGATCCATGAATTAGAATTCAAAAATGCTCTTGACATTGATATTCAAGGCTCTCATCCCACAGATACCCCTTTCTACCACCTTAGAAACAAAACAGGCAGCCTGGACTCCTCTCTTCTGAGCACACTTTGTGTTCTTTTCTCCCTGCTGCCAGCTACTTTCCACTGAGAGATTCTGGTGAAGGGCAGGGCCAGCTGTAGAAGGTACCCTCTGGTCTCCCTTTGCAGGTGGCATTGACCCGCTGGTTCGAGGTCTACTAGCCAGAAAGGCCAAGTTGGTAAAACAGGATAAAATGATGACAGGAGAATTGCGCAACAAGCTCTTCCAGCCAACTCATACCATCCATGGCTTCGACCTGGCTTCCATCAATATACAACGTTGCCGGGACCATGGACAGCCTGGTGAGTGTATCTCTGGGGTCTGGCCAGGCCTGGAGGGTTTGTGGCTACCTTCTGGGACTCCAAGAGACTCTCCTCTGTAGCCCTGAGGATCTGATCCATTCTGAACCGGAAAGCAAGTTTTTTTTTTTTTTTTTTGTCGGTCGTGGGGCTTGAACTCTGGGCCTAGTCGCTGTCCCTCAGCTCTTCAGCTCAAGGCGAGCGCTCTACCACTTGAGCTACAGCGCCACTTCCGGTTTTCTGGTGGTTTATTGGAGATAGGAGTCTCACGGTCTCTCCTGCCCGGGCTGGCTTTGAACCGAGATCCTCAGATCTCAGCCTCCTGAGTAGCTAGGATTACAGGCATGAGCCACCAGCGCCCGGCCGGAAAGCAAGTTTTAAAACCCACTTTGCTTGTCCATGAAAGGGAGGCCTCCATTCTCCCAAATGCAGAGATACAGACATGTTTCTGGTAATATTCTGAGGTTCCTCAGATGAAAAAGATCAGCAGCTAAGCTGGGTACCAGCGGTCTGTGCCTATAATCCTAGCTCCTCAGGAAGTTGAAATCTGAGGATCACGAGTTGAAGCCAGCTATGAGACTCTTATCTCCAATTAAACAGCATAAAGGTGGAAGTAGAGCTGTGGCTCAAGTGATAGATTGATGTCCTTGATCAGAAAAAGCCAAACAACTGCATGAGGGCCTGAGTTCAAGCCCCAGTACCAGCAGGGGGAAAAAAATCAAAAAAGATCCATAACTAACTTGGAAAGTCAATTTTAAAAGCCTGGAACCCTGTAGGCACTTTAGCTTTTATACCTATAAAAAGCAATACTGGGGGCTGGGAATGTGGCTTAGTGATAAGAATGCTTGCCTAGCATATTCATTTCCTCAGTACCACATAAACAGAAAAGGCTGGAGGTGGCACTGTGGCTCAAGTGGTACAGTGCTCTAGCCTTGAGCACAGAAAGGCTCAAGGACAGAGCCCAGACCCTGACTTCAAGCTCCAAATGGGCAGGAAAAAAAGTAAGAAAGAAAAGAAAAAGCGATATAGACCAGGAATCGGTGGCTTATGCCTACAATCCTAGTTATTCAGGAGGTTGAGATTCTAGGGATTGTGGTTCAAATCCAGCTCAGGCAGGAAAGTCCATGAGACCCTTTCTCCAATTAATCACCAGAAAGCTAGACAAGGAGCTATAGCTCAAGTTAATACAGAGCACTAGCATTTGAGCAAAAAACTAAAGGACAGTGCTCAGGCCCTGAGTTCAAGCCCCAATATTGACACACATACTAGAAAAGAATGTAGTGTAATTAAGAACCAGACTGCCTGAATTCAAATGCCAGCTGTGCCATTTACTAGTTCTAGAACTTTGGGCAAGTGACTTAACATCTCTGTTCTTCAGTTTTGACATTGTCACAGTGCTTAGAATAGTTCCTGGGCTGAGAGTAAATACCAGGTAAGCTGCTAACTTCTCTCCATCTCCCCTAAGACTGAAGTGCCACACACCTACACAATGGGTCAACACCTCCCCCGTGTCTCTGAGCCCAGACTTTCTGGGGCTGATGGAGTTGGAGTGGGTGTGTCCCTAAGGGAGGCCACAAGCTCTTGGGATGAGATAGCTTCGGATTCCCACCCTAGGGTACAATTCCTGGAGAAAGTTCTGTGACCTCTCTCAGCCACGGACACTGGAGGAACTGAGCGCAGTGCTGGGGAATGAGATGCTGGCCGAGAAGCTCCTGAGTCTCTATGGGACCCCTGACAACATCGACATCTGGATCGGGGCTATTGCTGAGCCCCTGGTAGAACGAGGCCGGGTAGGGCATCTCCTGGCCTGCCTCCTGGGCCAACAGTTCCAGCGAATTCGAGACGGAGACAGGTAAATGAAATCTCTGCCTAGGAGAGCAAGGGAGCCCTTCACTAAAGTGAGGGGGGAGGTCCCCAACATCCTACAAGAAGACTGACACCAGACCTCATCACCAATGGAGCTATTCCACGTGACCCCTTTGGCACTGGGGGGGTAGAACCAGCCACTGGACTGTCAGCACTGATGCCACTTCTGTCTCTGCAGGTTCTGGTGGGAAAACCCAGGGGTCTTCACAGAGAAGCAGCGAGCCTCTCTGCAGAAAGTGTCCTTCTCACGCCTTGTCTGTGACAACACCCACATCACCAAGGTCCCCAGGAACCCATTCCGGGCCCACAGCTACCCCCAAGGCTTTGTGGACTGCTCAGCCATTGATAAGCTGGACCTCTCACCCTGGGCCTCAGTGGAGAATTAGAGGCATGGCCTTCCACATGGCATTGTGACTCTCCCCCTTTGGTCCATGCTGCCATTTCAAATAAGTGTGATGACCCAGTCCCTTAATGCTTCAGACCTCAGTCGCCCAGTCTTCCTTTCCAGCTAGCCCTCTCTTGCATTTGCCCAAGGCCAACGGCAGCCACCTCAGTCTTCCAGCTCTTCTGCCTGGCTGCCACCACTTCCAACCTCTATGGAAATCTTCCTTTCTGCCAAGATGCAGGCCATCAGAGATGGCCTGAGATTTTAATGCTTCCTCTCCCTGAGCTGAAGCTGTAGCCTTTGACCTTTGCTTTTCCCCAATCCCTTCCAGACTATTTTGTAAGTTTTCTGAGCCCTGGACTTCTGCCTGTGTCTGAGTGCAGTCTGGGGTGCTAGGCATGGTATTCGTGTAGCTTGGTGCTCAATAAACACCTGGTAGTTGACTAAAGATGCTGGCAGTGACTTGGATCCTTCCCAAAGAAGACACGCCATGTTTACAGTCCCCATGTGTCTTCCTGTTGGGGTGTCCTGTGTCTGGGTCTGCTGGGGAAGAGGGGTGACTAGGTAGGAGATGCAAGAGGCCTCAAAGAAGGGAGGAAGCATGGCAAAGGAACAATGGCATCAAGTAGCAGGACAGGGGGCCTGGGAGACACTGAAGCTGAGTGCCATGGGATCAAACAGAAGGATGTCCTTGCAGCCAAAATTAATCACTCTTCCATCTCCTTGGAAATATCTCTTCCTCCCCTTCCCCCTCCCTCTCCTCCTCCTCTTCCTCCTTTTCCTCCTTCATCTTCTTGTTATGTGTGTGTGTATGTGAATATGTGTTTGTTCATGTGTGCATATGTGTGTATGTGTATGCTGGTCCTGGGGCTTGAACTCAGCATCTGGGCGCTGTCCCTGAGCTTCTTTTGCTGAAGGCTAGCTCTCTACCACTTGAGCCATAGTTCCACTTCTGGCTTTTTTTTTTTTTGGTGGTTTAGTGGAGATAAGAGTCTTACAGACTTGTCTGCCCAGGCTGGCTTTGAACAGCGATCCTCATATCTAAGCCTCCCGAGTAGCTAGGATTACAGGTATAAGCCACTGGTGCCAGGTAATACTCTGTTCTTGTTGAGCAGTCCTTAGAGCCCACAAGTCTCTGAAAGGACAGCTCTAGAACATTCCTTGAGCTGCTGCACAATGTCTATTCATAGTTCCTCTTTTAATTTTTTGAGTCAGGGTCTCACTATGTAGCCCAGGTTGGTCTTGAATTCGCAATCTTCCTGATTTGGGATAGATGCCTCAATGTACTACCATACCTAGTTTACATTCTTCTTTTAAAGTGACCCTCCTATGCAAACCCCAGGACCACACACAAAAATACATAATCATTAAGATTACCCTGTAGGAGCTGGGTCACACCTATAATCCTTGCTACTCAGGAGGCTGAGATCTAAGGATCAAAGTTCAAAGCCAGCCCAAGCAGGAGAGTCCATGAGACTCTTATCTCTAATAACCACCAAAAAGCCAGAAGTGGAGTTGTGTCTCAAGTGGTAAAGCAGCAACCCTGAGCCAAAAAGCTCAAGGACAGTGAACTCAGTCCCTCAGTTCCTGGCCCCAGGACCAGCACATATAGACAGACACAAAACTCCCTGGCAAGTAAGACCAGTGAAGCTAGGGCCTCCAGATCCCTTGTCTGGCAGGGTGAGAGTAGAAGGCACATTGCCATTGTGGGGAAATGCCCAGGGCAGAGGGCCTAGCACCCCCACTTCTTCTCAGCCTCTTAAGAGGCCCCTCCCCTTTCTGGGCAGCTCTCTCTTTGCCTGTATTTGTTCTACTGCTCACCACAGGGATAGCCTAGCTTTCCTCGGGGACCCCAAGAGTGTATCATACCCATTATCCATACACCTTCAGTTCCAGCTGTGGGTGGCCCCTCCCCACCAATGGGAAGCTAGGAAGGGAGAGGGAGGACACCCACCAGTTAAATCTAGGGGTCTGACTCCAGGCAAGATCAGTAGGAACATGCACTCCTCCGGCCCCTCAGTCCCTGCTTTCTGGTGTGGTCACTGAGACCCTGGGGAGAGGAGGCCACCACCCTGAAGGTCCCCTGAACCTTTCTCCTGGCCCAACCATGGGGCTGTAGGGTGCAGAAGCCCCCATCATCTGGGAAGTCCTTCCAACCAGAACTCGGCTCTTTCTCCCCCACGGGACAGAATTTTATCCCCTCTGTGTCCCAGGTCCTGACACAAGGTAAGCATGAAGTAATTGTGCTCTGGAGCCATGTACAATCATCAGGGCTTGGGGACTTCCTTCCTGTTCCACAGAGGGCCAGGTGGGAAGCAAGGGATGAGGGTCTTCTTCCTCTGTGTATGGAATTGCTGATGCCCTCACCCCCCATCAGAAACTGAGGGTCCTGTTCAGGGTCAAGTTCAGGACTCAGAGGGAGCCTCCCACAAAGGCTCCAGCCCCTTTCCCAACACAAGCAGAGCAGAGTGAAATCCCCATTGGCAGTGCTTTATTACTATAAATGTCAAGTACAAACATATGATACAGAAATGCCAGCGAGCCCCAGTTTCTATCCATCAGGTTCCTGTGAATAAGCAAGAGAACAAGAGTAAAAGGGAGCCATGGATTCAGCCTGGCTGGCTTTGACCCATAATTTGACTGCAATTCCCATAACCCCAGCTGCTAAAGGGTTAGATTTCCAGGAGCTACTGGTTATCTCTGCTAACCAGGACAGAGTCAAGGCGTAAGACCCTTGAGGAATCTTTCATGCCTCTCTCTGTCTCCAATGCCCAGTACAGTGCTTGACATGTAGTTGCTCAACAAACAAAGAGCTACAGGATGCAAATGGACCACAGTTATTTACAAGGAAGAAAACTCAGGCTTAAAGGAATTGGACAGTTGGCTCCAGATCACTCAGGAGTAATCTATCGAGCCAGGATGTGACCTTAGGAGGTCTGTCCTAAGCTGGGCCCCTCACTAATTTCCTTGGCTACTGCCCATGTCCCTAATGCTCTCAGAAGCAGCAAGCACACACTCACACAAATGACATACATGCCATGATATATCTGGTACTGCTCATGTTCACAGACAACGCATGCATGTGAAATGCTGACATACATTCTCTTCACACATATCAACACACAAACACATCTTCTCAGCTGGAACCCAAACTCAGGCCAGGGAAGGGAGTTTCCTGTGATTGCCATTGGCCAACCCAGGAATACCCCCACAGTGCAGCGTGCCCTTACCTAGCCTCTAAGACTCTCTCCAGGAACTCAGGTCCAGCTTCGGGAGAGAGTTGCACTGCACAAAATCCTGGGGGTATGAGTTGGACATGAAGATGTTGTTCTTGGACACAGTGGTGATGCCTGTGTTGTCACAGATGATGCGGGGCAAGGAGATTCTGGCCAGGGCCTGGCGTTGCTGCATGCTGAATACATCTGCGTTCTGCCACCAAAACCTGCATAAGGAGCACCAAAGACACTGTGCCCGAGGGAGTCCTGGACTGGGATACCCTGGGCTGAGAAGGTGTCACCTGACTTGAGCTGCTCCTAGATGCAAGAGGACCACAGAAGACTCTGCCTTGCAGCACAAGACAGACCTCAGACCCTCAGGGGAGGGGGGAATCTCCACTCAGTGTTGAGTACAAGAGGGCACAGCTGCGTGTTGCCTCTCCTCCCACCTGGAAATCCTTTCAGGTACCTTTCATGCTATAAAGGGAGCCAGGCCCTCCCATAATCCTGAAGCCATGTGCCTGGAGCTGGGCTCACAGGACTGAGTTTCCTTTTTGTCCCTCAAGAAGAGGAAAACAGAATGTTGGAAGGGGGATCAATACCCAAACCACTTCCTCAATGAATGAAGACAGCAATACGTCACTACAAGGGTTTAGTGGGGATGGGGAAAGTGAGAGACAGAGCTGATTAAAGTTCTGTATATGTGTGATGTGTGAATGCCACCACTGAAATCCCTTTGAACAATTAACACATGCTAAGTAATGTCATAAACGTAAGACAACTGGTCTTGTGGGGGGGTGGATATGACAGGTGTAGGTGTTGGAGGGCAAACAGAGAAGGAGAGAGTCAATATGCTCAAAATACTTATGTACTGTGTAACAAAGGGAACAGTGGTGTCTGGGAATGTGGCTTAGTGGTAGAGTGCTTCCCTAGCATGCTTGAAGCCCTGGGTTTGATTCCTCAGTACCACATAAACAGAAAAAGCCAGAAATGGTGCTATGGCTCAAGTGGTAGAGTGCTAGCCTTGAGCAAAAAGAAGCTCAGGGACAATGCCCAAGCCATGAGTGCAAGCCACAAGACTGACCAAAAAAATGGGGTGGGGGGAGATAACAGTGAAGCTTATTGAAATTAACTTGAGAAAGGAGAAACGGGAGATGAGGGGGAGTGACAGAAAGGATAAATCTGATCAAGGTATGTTGTGTGAACATGTCAAACATAAAAACCCCTGTACAGCCAGGTACTGGTGGCTTACACCTGTAATCTTAACTACTCAAGAAGCTGAGATCTGAGGGTCGCAGTTCAAAGCCAACCCAGGCTAGAAAGTCCATGAGACTCTTTTCTCCAATTAACTATCAGAAAACTGGAATTGACACTATGGTTCAAAGTGGAAGAGGGCTAGCCTTGAGCAACAGAGTTCAGGGACAGCATCTAGGCCTCGAGTTCAAGCCCCACAACAGACAAATAAATAAATAAATAAATGTGGTGCTGTGGCTCAAAGTGGTAGAGCACTAGCCTTGGCCCAGAGCGCATAGGCCCAGACTTCAAGCCTCATGACTGGCCAAAAAGAAAAGGAAAAAAAACCTATACAACTGATTATAGCAACAACAACAATAATAATGAAACAGGAACTTAGGCACTGGTGGCTCACACCTATAATCCTAGCTGCTTAGAAGGCAGAGATGAGAGAATCTGGGTACAAAGTCAGCCCAAGCAGACAAACCTAAAAGACTTTTATTATCTCTATCCAACAAAAAGTTGGAATTGGAGGCTCAAGTGGTAGAGTGTTTGGCTGTGTTGCGAGCAGAAAAAGCTGAGGGAGAGGCCCTGAGATTCAAACCCTTGTACAGGCAAATGCACACACGCGTGTGCGCACACATGTGCACGCACACATGCACACACACACTCACACATGCATGGGGAATTGTCTGGCTTGAGTCATTTTTTGTTGTTGTTAATATCCCCAAAGGTACAGGGCAGGTGGGTAACAGCTCTAGACACCGTGAAATGATGAGAAATGATGTCAGAAAGCTGAGACTGTTCATACTGGCATAGAGGAAGACAGAGGAAGAGTAGGAAGGGTTTTCCTGTCACCACCAGAGTTCCAATTTCCCCTCACTGCACTTCAACAGGGATAACGTGGGGCCGCCCTGGAACACACTGAAAAGTCACTCTTCCCATCCTTATATTTACTGGGGGAAAAGGGCCATGGGAGGTGATTTGG